TCGTCCAAAACGGCTCTGGGGTCCACCCAACCTCCTATCCAATGGGTATCGGGGGCGCTGTCCTCGGGGGTAAAGCGGCCGGGACGAGCTGACCACTCACCTCCAGCTACTGCCGAAGACAAGAAAATGTGGACCTATACATCCACTCCCCCATACGTCTTCATGGCGTAGTGCCTAATTAGTTAAGCGCAGGGACGGCTTTTTACTTTTACAAAATATGCAATAAATTCAGAGCGAAGAGTACTATCTACTGGGAGGTAATATCATGTAGTCTGAGAGAACATCACCGAAGATTCGGCGGAAGGTTCTGCCTCCTTTTTCAGGGTCGAACTGTGAGCTTGGCAAGAAATCAGACGGCAAGCAGAGTTCTTGCTGGTTTCTTACTTTGCTTGCTTTTTTAACCCTAATATGGAGACAATAATTTCTTCTGAGACGTCGGTGAACTTATACCAGACTACACGGCATTACATCCAAGAAGCAAGATTTCATAGCCTCCACTGTGAGAACCTCAAATTCGACGCGGAAAGATCATGTATATAAAGCTATCCCTGTAACAGGCCGTGAAGGCCCATAGGGTTGTGAGACGTCGAGGCTCCCCACATTTTCTCTAGACAGTCGGCTCACAGATGGCGGTGAGGTCGCCCTTTACCCCCAGGAAGGTTCCTGGTACTCATTTCTGTTATAGGCTGAGTCGACCCCAGGGCCATAGTGCGGCTGGAAGGATTAGGTAAATTGAAAGAATCCAATGACCTCATCGGGAATCGAATCCGAGACCCGCCGGCTTGTAGGATACTGCCCCAACCAACTACGCTTCCTCATGACCCCAAAATAATGTATAAGTGCGATAAAAATTAATGCACCATAGAAGTTTTAGAACTGACTTCATAATTTCCAGTATTTTAATATTTATTTATCAAAGGCTACAGTGTTTTAGAGTTAACAATATTTTTATTTAAGATTCCATCTCCACGTAACGTGTCTCGAGTTTCTGATTACGCAGTTAAGATAAGCTGACGGTTGAGACCTGGTGCTTCCCTCCCTACGAATCTTGGATGACGGACAAAGTCCAGAAATTCAGCAGTCCTAACTGTAACAGTGTTCTGCGCAAAGTGTTTGTGAGTCTTGCAAATATTTAGCGAAGCCTTGGAACTGAAATATCATCTTTAGCTTTGCGCTTGCGTGTTTTCATTTCGTGATCTGTTTGAGCTATTCGTATTAGGTTCAATTGCTTATGTTGCGTCAGAATCAGTCCAAATTATGAACTGCAAAAAAGGCGGGGACTGAAGTGGCCCTAAAGTATTTAAGACGCCATATTGTGCTCGAAGATTACCTTGAAGAATCTCAGAATTGTTGGATTTGAAGTCCTCACAACGGTGATTATGAAGAATTCTATCTTTTGGAATATAATTACTTTCAACTGACTACACGGCATCATATCCCAGAAGATAGAACTCCTCTCAGAATAGTTGGTATCCAAGTCAAGATTTGAAACAAACGAATTGGTGTAGTGATACAGCGATAGCTCAGTCAGCATAGTGACGGCCTGGATGACCCTGTGATCGATTCACGGCAATACAAGATTATTTTTTGGTCTCCACAGCCTCCTATCCAATGGGTACTGGGGGATTTCTCCTTGGGAAGTAAAAGAGGCTGGGGCGTGAAACTGACCACTTACCTCCATCTAGTGCCCAGGTCAAGAAACGTGGAGCTAAGCCTCCACTCCCCCTATGTCTTCATGGAACAGTGCTTAACTAATTATGCACAAACAGTCATTCATCAATGGCTCTAGAGCCCTTTGCTGGGCCTTGACCTCTTTTTCAGTTTCGTAATCCTGTACACATCGGTAGGGCTCCTTGGACGGGGGATCAGCCCTTTGCAAAGCCTATACCTACACATAGGACAGTACAAGCACATAATAAACGCTCAGAATGACTGGGTTTTTGGAATTTGTCAATCATTTGGTATTCCAGAAATTAAAAAACACGACGTTTCGGAAACTTGATCTCTTTCCGTTCTCAGGTTTCTAGAATATCGGACGATGGGCCAAGTTAAAAAAAACAGTGATTCTAAGCGTTATACACCGTCGTCAGAACCCTTTAGAACACGCAGAATATACGCACAAACAGACATCCGGGCAGCGTCCGAACGGGCGAAGACAGTTCATACCTAAGACCGCGCCGCCATTGTTATTGGGTAAGAACGGGGACAACTTTACCTTTTAGTAGCAGCATTTTGCAGGTACCAGATTCATATCTCGGTTGCCCACATTGAAGTTTTCTAGCGGCATTCCCAAGTCTCTCCATACAATTTCCAGAAAAAAAGAGATATAACACAAATCGGCGCTTTTCAAATCATTACTGATCATTTACGATCATACTTCAATGGCATTCGACGCAATGTAATCTCTATTGTTGAAACAGGGGCATAACGTAACCGTTCGACGCCATATAATCTCTAATACTGAAACAGGGGCATAAAGTAGCCAAAAATTAATCGCTGTTCATGAAGTAAACTTGCTCCTGTGCGCCACGCTATGGATCAGTGCGGGGGAGTCGTGATGTTCAGCCATGCGTTCTTAACTTCGTCACTAGATGGAAATGAGTGGTCAGCCTCTTGTCTCCCGGGGAAGAGCCCACGGCACCCTTTGAATATGAGGCTGGGTGGGCCCCAGAACAGGTCTGGGCGCGATGGATAAGAACCAGATCCCCTAAGAACTAGCTTTGTGACTGTGGGGGTTTTCGCTGTAGAATTACGCCAACAGAAAAAGGTTCATTATTTAGAAATTATCATTAAAAAGGGTATAAATCGTAAGTCATACACCAACCACGGCATCGTGACTAATAACACGATACGAAATCATATTGCTCGGTGCCGAGCTGCTAATCTTTAAAAGTCCGTTGGTCTCACCTCCTTCAACATTAAGAAACTCTGGATTTTGTCTGCACAGTGAATTTATATGTTTCTTGCTGTTATCACGGTAAACAATGATTATTTGTAAAGGACACGCAATGTGGTTTTTCTGAGGTAGCAAATTGGATTTTTAATATTATTTAGTTTTGTGTGTGAAGTCTTTTTTATTCTCTCTCCTCTGTCTTTACGCAAATGCAACCGATCACAGTTTCTGCGCGGTCTAAGGCTCTCTCGAAAGCTTGGATCGTGAGTTCGAATCCCACTCAAGGCATGGATATCTGTGTGTGCGTTTATTCTGTATTTGTGTTATCCTGTGTGTAGGTAGCGGCCTTGCGATGGGCTGATCACTCATCCAAGGAGTCCTACCGACTGTATAAAAAAAATTACGAAACTGAAGAAGAGGCCAGGGCCCAACAAAGGGCTGTAGAGTCATTGTTGAATGAAATTACGCAAACGCTGAGATGGTTCACAAGTTCCAAATTCTGTTGCGTGCTTCTCATGCAGCCCTACCGATTTACGAGTATAAAATTGTACCTGTATCAGGGTTTGGAAATGTAATTGAGCGCTACTGTCTGGACATTGCAACTGTTTCAAGACCAGCACATAATCAATACCGTACTCAGTTTAAACTTTAAACGATGTGGCTTGTTACACGACCAGGTTTAGCCTATTTAAACTCACGGGGAACTAATTCACCAGTCTGAGCGTTACATATATGTCGAACAATATTCTCTTCTTTCATATGTCGCCGTATCTTCTGGTATATGTTTATGGACAATTAGGAGAAAAGTGTTTTTCCTGTTTTCAGAATCTTCCAGCTTCCATTTCTTACCCTTCGACCCTGAAGATAGAAAGAGTTCCTCCGTTATATCAATAAACTTATAGTAGAATACACGGCGTCACATCTCCACGAGGTACACAGTACTTGCCGTGAGAATCACGGATGTTACACAAGTGTCGTTTGGGTTTCAAAGTCCAGTTACATCAGAAAGCAGTAACTTTGCATAAGCGTTGGTGTGTCTCTTGTTCTGGGAAGCGCTGCATGGCCAATGGGTAGTGTTGCTATGTAAAAGTTATTATCTCTCTTGTATGGAAGTTATCGAGGGTCTCAGCATAGCTCATTAGCCTGGGTGTTTAAAGAAAGAGTTTATTTGAAGTTAGGTAATATTGTAGACAGGACCATAGAATTTTGATTTGATGGTTAATCATGAAATGCGCAATTAGTAAAAGTGATCTTGGGGCCTCCACAGCGAAGGATTTTTATTTCGATAAATTTATGCCTCTTATTACGTCAGAGAACAAGTTGACTCAAGATTATTCTCCTATTATTGAGGTGACACTTTTAAAGCTTTAACCTTACTCAGGCTTTCGTGCCTTTCCTCAGTACCTCCCCATCCTTTCCACTTCATAATTATTCTAAAATTCGATTCTGTGCAGTCTGTAGAAATGAGAGTGTCATTACGTAAACATTTCTCTGGGATACATCATGCAAACCGTTGAAAGTCAACTGACGTTTCGGAGGAATATAACGTCTCTATCTTCAGTGTTAAAGGATAAGCCAAGCAAGAAACTAATATGAAGCAAACGGCAAGAAAAATCGTCTCTTACTTTTCTTGCTCTTTAACCCTGAAGATGGAAGGAAAATACTCATCCAGAAACGTCAGTTGACTTTTAGTGGTCCACACGGAGGTATGTCCAAAAAGGAATAACTTTTAAGAACCACCACTATAAGAATCTCAAATTTTACAGACACAGTCTGTTTAGAGGCTGTCTATTGTTGACAGACCTGCAAGTGACACATTTTAGCTACTCCGCCCCCCACAACTTAACTTTCGTTACAACTCGGTAAATATCACGACTGACACAGAAAAATACCATCACGTTATATTATTGGTTCACGCTTTACTGCTAAAGTCTCCGTTACACCGTTACAGTCATATTTATGTAATCAGTAATTATAAACGACTTACCTTACTCAAAATTAAGAGAATTCATAGCTACAGTTAAAACGTATTTATCCTGTAACTACACTGACTTCAAAATATTCTCTTTTCGCTTCACTTTCTGTACTGAAAACACGTCTGTCTTACCTTTCCGCTTTTATGCAATTCTTTATCATCACCCAAGTTTACTTTTCGCAACGGACGCGCCTTCATGCGTTTCTGCGGCTACTGTTGTCTGAGTACACTGCAGAAGCCCGAGCCTTAGCTGTGCTGTCCTCTCGGTCACTCCAGCGCTGTCTGAACAGTTGAAGGCACGGCGCGCACTGTCAACTTAACATACTAACCGTCACATAGGAAGGCAATTGTTAAAAGCATTCCATGAATATGCTTCCGTCTGGATTAATATTAAGCGCCTGTCTCTGTTCCAAGGTTAACATACTAAACAGAGATTACAATTTTTTTCGCTTCCAACGGACGCTGAATGATCAATAGCTAATGTCGCATGCTTTGGGGCTGTCCTGTATATTCAATGCTTTTTCTTTTTTTATTGCTAGTGGGGTGGGTCCCTTGTACTGCAGCCACTTTTGGTCTATTGTACCAGCCCCAGATGATAGGTGAGGGTGATTGCGGAGCAACTGGTGGAAGGAAGAGTGGCAGGGGGAAACGAAGTACTCGGAGAAAACCTGCCCCAGCGCCACTTTGTCCACCACAAATCCCACTTGACCAGACCGGACATCAAACCCGGGCCGCCGCGGTGGGAAGCCAGTGACTAACCGCTTGAGCTATGGCGCGGGCCTAATTAACCTTAAAGTAACTGGGGATTTTCGTGAATACGCGTGAAATTTTTACTTCTCACACAGGACTGTTTCATGCAGTCAGTTTCTTATTACATGAAATTGATGCTAAACATAACGTCAGATTTTATGCCATCTTGTTGAAATTTTTGGGGGGTAACCGTTGGTTGACGCACTATACTACAAGCCGGAACGTCGCGGGTTCGAATCCTGATAAGATCATTGGAATTTTTTTAATTGACTATGGCCCTGGGGTCCAGTCAGCCTCTAACAGAAATCAGTACCAGGAATCTTCATGAGGGTTAAGGGCGGCCGGTGCGTAAGACTGACAACCTCACCGCCATCTGTAAACCGACTGTCTAGAGAGAATGTGGGAGCCTCGACGTCTCACAAACCCACGGGCCTCCACGGCCTGTTACTGGGATACCTTTACCTTTTTATTTCGAAGTTATGGACATATGGGGGCTGTACGTTTTAATGATTGCCCAAATTCATCTGGCAAGTCTCCATATTCTTCTGTCCTTGCACGTATATATTCCTGTCACAATAAAGAACTGTTACTTAAGTTCGTTTACAAAGTTCCGCCCTCTCCCAACCCCTCTGCTTATATTCACCGAGTCTCGTCATCTGTGTCACTCAGGGGGTCATTAACTCATTCATCCGGTCGGCTGCCATTTCTCTCTCAATTTCTGAACCAATTGTCCATTTTACGAATCAGTTATATACTTGAAGAATTCTGTCTTCAAGGATATAAAGCTGTGTAGTCCGTTGAAGGTCAACAGAGGTTTCGGAGGAACATGTCGTTGTCACCTTCAGGTTCGAATAATAAGACAAGAAACTAGGTGTAAGATGGAAGCCACACACTCTTCCGAAAAGTTCAGTTGACTCTAACCGGACTACACGGAGTTATATCCGAGATGACAGAATTCTTCATGACCACCGGTGTGAGATCCTCAAACCCTACACGTTTTTATAGCTATTGATCGACATTATGTCCAATTTATTAGCTCGATTTACTACTTCTTGCACTAAACTATTAAGTAATGCACTATTCACTTGCTATAATAGCATTAGCTTCATAGTTCAGGGCCTTCCTTCATAAGACTGTTGTTCCTCAGATATTCAAGAAAAGTCTTTGTTGAACCCGTTGCCATGTTCACAAGAATTCAACACTGGCTCCGCTCCTTACTCAAATTCACAGTGTGGTTTTTGAGTTGCAACATCGTGTAGTATAAACACATTTTCTTGTTTTTATAATTTCTTTCTCGGGGACGATGAGGTGGGAAGGGCATCTAGCACGAATGGAGGAGACGAGTAATGCATATAGGATACTGGTGGGTAAGTCATAAGGAAAGAAACCAATGGGAAGACCAAGACGTAGGTGGGTGGACAATATTATAATGGATCTTAAAGAGATAGGATGGGATGGTATGGATGGGATTGGTCTGGCTTAGGATAGGGACCAGTAGAGAGATTTTGTGAACACGGTAATGAACCTTCGGGTTCCATAAAATACTGGGAAATTCTTGAGGAGCTGCAGAATTGGCGGCTTCTCAAGGAGGGCTCAGCTCCATGAGTAAGTAAGATTTCTTTCAGTTTTCCCCGCATGATACAATATACAATTGAAATGTAACCGTGAGATAACAATGAGTTGATTTGTATGGTGACAAACTCTGTGAGTTCGCCGTAAGGCCGTTGGGCGCGCCACTTCACAGTTTTGTGCGCAAGCTCGATAACAGATGGCGAAACTGCATTTGATTGTTTGGGATGTTAAGAGTAACGACTTCATATATTGTTGTAGGAGTATGGAACCCAGTACCTTGGCCATCCAGCCCATAGTCGTCGAGTTGTCACATCGACTGAGGCGTGAAGAAGTATTATTAGTTCCATCGCTTCAGTAGTGAAAAAAAAAGAAAGTAAACTGCAAGCCGCTAGCCAATACTCGCACACAGAACGTTTCATGACTCACGAACATGTTGGATTATACAGGGCGTTCAATCAAGGAGTTACTGCTGCAACTGTAACTGCGTACGTTTATCAGCGCTAATGACTCATTCTGCTATCAGCAGTTACAGCAGCAATCTGTGAGGAATGTTGGGCCGTGTCAGCGGTGTTGCGCAGGTTCCTCCTTAACTGAACGCACTGTATATCGCTATATACCGTACTGAATCATCTCAAGGACTTTCTGTCCTGTTTGCCAGTTCCATGATTCAACGCTCTAAAACATAAAAGCCTGTTGGATAGTGCTATCTTATGGAATGTGACACCGTGTAGTCTCGTGGAAGTAAACCGAAGTAAACAAGGTTGACCGGGTCCTATATTCCTCACAGATTGCTGCTGTAACTGTAAGGGCGCGCGTTTATCAGCGCTAATGACTCATTCTGCTATCGGCAGTTACAGCAGCAATCTGTGAGGAATGTTGGGTCGTGTCAGCGGTGTTGCGCAGTTTCCTCCTTAACTGAACGCACTGTATAATTCCAGTCGAGGATTAACGAGAACGTGAACGAACCGGATATTTGCGCACGAAAAGAGAAGGAGGGCATAATGTCAGGTGCGTGAAATCGCGTCCATTGTACACGTGTTCTTAGTTATCTCTTTATCACGCCCAAACTTCGTAAACAATCCTCAGTGTCTGTACCCAGGTCAGGTTACCGGAATTCCAGTGACGCTTTGCAGAATGACAACAACTGAAATGCGCAGTCTCTTGGTGCGCAACGGACAGACATGAGAACGTGATATGCTTACTACATACGCGATTGTCGTCATTAAGATGCATTATAAAACTATAATACGCGTGCAAAATGTGTGAGGTCCTCTTTACTTTGTCTCATCCTTTGTTTCTCTGTCGGTATTTCTCTACAGTTCTGTCTGTTATCCTTCTTGATTCTCATAGGGAAGAACATAGGGGAGGGAGTTTGAGAACAGGTAAAAAAAAAAGGTAAAGCTATACCTTTAACAGGCCATGGAGGCCCATAGGGTTGTGAGACGTCGAGGTTCCCACATTTTCAAGACAATCGGCTCAAAGATGGCGGTCAGGTTGTCAGCCCTACGCGCCGGTCGCCTTTTACCCCCAGGAAGATTCCTGGTACTCATTTCTGATAGAGGCTGAGTCGACCCCAGGGCCATAGTGCGGCTGGAGAGATTAGGTAAATTGAAAAATCCAATGACCTCATCGGGAATCGAACCGGCTTGTAGCATAGTACCGCAGCTAACTACGCTTCCCAGTAAGCTTCTAGAGCAGAAAAAGTAAAGCAAAGACGAATTTCTCCCTATGTAATTGACCATCACTGTATTCTTAACATTGACGCTAGACGGAGATGGGTGGTCAGCTTCACACCCCGGCCGCTATGGCTAAAAGAAAATTATTTCCCCTGCCCGTAGCCCGTCATTATACCTACATTTTCTCAAATGTGGCGTCATGTAGTCTGGTAGATCGTTAGACCTGCCCTGCAGTTGGAGGCGATCTGCAGACTGTACGGTGTAACATCCCGTGGAGACCTTGATCTTGAAACTCATTGCCGACAGAGCTGCAAACCGCGCACATAAACATGACGTATTTGCTTGCAAATTGTAAAGTCATCCTCTGATTTGTGTATAATATTCTCCTGAACCTTCATCTGCTAATGTTATTGCTTATTTTATGGTTGTTGTATTACGTGGAAAGTAATCCTCATCGGTAAAGCTGGCCCCGTAGCTAAACATCACGATAATAAGAAGGTCGTAAAACGAGATATTTCTCAACAGAAGGGAGGCTTCCCATTGGTGGAACTTCCATCTTTCTGTCTAGCTTTGTTCCTGATACTACCACTTGGAGCATAGGGCAACCATGAAACATTTGTTTCATTTCAGTTTCTTAATCTTGGACAGTAGGTAAGAGTCCTTGGACGAGGGATCAGCCCGTGACAAGGCCGCTTACGAACACAGAATAAACGCACACAATACAGACATCCATACCTTGAGTGGGATTCGAACCCACGATCCCAGCGAGCGAAGACAGTGCATGCCTTAGACCGCCCAGCTACCGTAACCGGCAGTGTATAAGAATAATATATAAGAATTCAGTTCGTACCTCACAGGAAACAGATCCGAACCCACGATCCCGGCTTCCGAGCGAGCGAAGACAGTTCATGCTTTACACCGCGCGGCTACTGTGACCGGCAGTGTATAAGAATAATATATAAGAATTCAGTCCGTACCTCACAGGAAACAGATCCGAACCCACGATCCCAGCTTCCGAACGAGCGAAGACAGTTCATGCTTTACACCGCGCGGCTACTGTGACCGGAACTACTAAACTACACATAACTGAAAAAAAAAAAAGAAATCTGCTTCTTCGAAGACGTGGAGCTCTGTAGTTTTACTATGGTGAGAAAACAGTTTCGACAAAATGGCCGGTGGGGCACAAGATGTAGAAAGTTAACAATCACCGGTAAGGTCCACCTACTTTACGAACCAGAGGCAACTTAACAGACGAAAAATCCCATGTAAGTATATCTGAAATTTTCCCACAAGCGAATACCGGAAGTTGAGGATACAGTCTAGTAACGACATGATGACGTAATGGTGTACGTCACTGAACAATGACGCACTCTCGTTCCCATAGCAGATGGAATATAGAAGGAGCGTGGAGATTAAGCTCCAAGCATTAAGATTTGGTGGAAGTGAGGGGTTACGGCCGCGCCATAGCTCAAGCGGTTAGTCGCTGGCTTCCCAGCGCGGCGGCCCGAGTTCGATCCCGGGTCTGGTCAAGTGGGATTTGTGATGGACAAAGTGGCGCTGAGGCAGGTTTTCTCCGAGTACTTCGGTTTCCCCTGCCAATCTTCATTCCACCAATTGCTCCACAATCACCCTCACCTATCATCTGGGGCTGGTACAACAGGCCAGAAGTAGCCGCAGTACAAGGGACATAGTCCCACCCCACTAGCAATAAAAAGAAAGTTAGAGATTAACGTCACTCTCCGGCCGCTTTACTCCTGTTAACTCTATAATAGTACTTAAAACATTTATATTTTTATTTTCACGTGTTTCTGTGAAACGGCTGGCTTCTTTAATTAAAAGTCATGGTTGTTGTTTTTTATTACGCCCACTGCGTGGCTTTGATGTCATTCCATTTTGAATTCACAGCGCAGCAAATCAGTATTTTGCGCTAGGGGTCACTCAGGGCACGAGGATTTGCCGATGCGATCCATTTAAATGGTAATAGTACATACCAAGCATCGCTCTTGAAACGGGGAAAAAAGGACATGCTTTTAAAATTGTGCGGTTATTTTTTTTTTTTATCGCTCAGCACTTGTGTTTGTGATATCCTCGGTCTGAATCAGCCTGCAAACCGTCTATCCTAACTGAAGTGGTTTTTCCTCAGGTCTTCCAAGTAAATGCTGTGATAGTACCCGCATTATACCCCGACCTCTTAGTTCCAAATCCTTTCCAATTTATCTCTCGTCTTCCCATTTAACGTTATACAGTTTAGCTACCGACAGCGTCGTAATGTAGTTCATAAAGAAACACCCTTATATAATATACAATGAATAAATGGGATCGCTTACGTTTATACAGGGTGTTTCAATTAATAACGCTGCCCGAACTTGCTCGGAAAGCGAGCTGGCCCGAGGTAATCTCCTAACGAGCTTACGACGGCACGGTAACATCATTTTTTGAACTCCCTGTGTATGAATATAGGCGTTTCATTCTTCAGAATATCTTCTTACTAGTGAGAAGTTTTGGATGTGTGATTGCATCACAAATGCGTGAAGACTTGTAGACGAACATAGGAGAGTAAACTCTCCATGAGTAACCATGAAAACATTTCTCATAGCCGAAAAACATTGACCAATGATCCTTCGAAGATCTTAACGCGTTTGTATTAGTACAAATGTAAGTAATCACATTTATTCCTTATATGTCATGAAGTCTTATAAGACAAATAATTTCTTTCCATTATTAAAGCCAGATGACATTAAACGAAGTTAAAAAAGATAAAATTACCACTGTGGTTAAGTAGTTAAGCACTGTTTCATGAAGACATATGTGGGAGTGGAGGTATAGCTCCACTTTTCTCACGCCCTTGCCACTTTACCCCCCGGCACCCATTGGATAAAAGGCCTGGTGGGTCCCAGAGTCGTTCTGGACGCTGTGGAAAAGAGAAAAATATCTTTCCGGGAATCAATCCCAGAATACTCGGCTGTCAGCAGCCCGCTGCCATACCGGCTGAGGTACTTCTGTTTGCTGTGTGAATGCTGCGAAACCAATAATGACATTAACTTTTATTATTATTGCTAGTGGGGTGGGTCTAAGTCCCTTGTACTGCGGCCACTTCTGGCCTATTGTACCAGCCCCAGATGATAGGTGAGGGTGATTGTGGAGCAATTGGTGGAATGAAGATTGGCAGGGGAAACCGAAGTACTCGGAGAAAACCTTCCCCAGCGCCACTTTGTCCACCACAAATCCCACTTGACCAGACCCGGGATCGAACCCGGGCCGCGACGGTGGGAAGACAGCGACTAACAGCTTGAGCTATGGCGCGGCCATGACATTTACTTACTTGTCCAGTTGTACATACATTCACTGCATTCCTAACCTCACTCATCTACTTGTAAACTACAATTATTCTTGCGAAAGTACAGACTTTTTCCGAAATAGATGGAAGGGTCTTCCCTAGTAATTTTTCAAATAAAAATTGTTAATATTTATTAATAATTATTTCTACAGTTCTTTTATTTTCTCAGTTTTAGGGGCCTCGAGAAATTCTATTGCGGCCCTGTGGTTATTGTCATATACTGTTAGATAAATAATTGGTAAATCCTCTAATTGTTTGCTCTGTTTCTCAACCATTACACGTGCTTCATACCAGCAACGGACGTTGTCTCTGTAATTTAATTTAACAGATGGAAAATCAACTATCGTGGTCGTTCCTTGGTGCCACTACGCAACACTTGCGTACTGTTGCGTCACGTTAGAGGTCTCGCGTTTCTTCAGCCCTTGAAATATGAATGTGTAAGCGAGATCCACTGTCTTATTCCACGCTCTCTCTCCTTGTGGTGTCAGTTGCTCTCCAAGCTTCTCTTTCAACAGGTCCATCAGTACCACTTTTAGATCCTGTAAAATTAAAATGTAAAGTTAATGTCTTCGTTTCAAGTTGTATTATTTAACAACATTTATCCAACTGAACCCCACAAAGATGCTTCAACTGAAATGATTATGACCGACAGTGTCAAATAAATTCGACCTATCGATATTGTGATGTGTTACACTACGTTCATCACTGCGCAACGGCTACAATGGGAACACATACTTCCGCGACAATGAATACGTGGAAACTGTTGAATTCCCACAGCGAGAAATTAAATACCAACAGCCAACACGTGATAATATATTGGTTTCTTCGGTTACATGTGAAGACACGCGGTAGCGTAGTTGGTTGAGGCGCAATGCTACAAGCCGGAAGGTCGCGGGTTCGATTCCAGACTATGGCTCTGGAGTCGACTCAACCTCTAACAGAAATTAGTACCAGGAATCTTCCTGGGGGTAAAGGGCTGCCGGTACGTATAGCTGACAACCTCACTTCCATCTGTGAGCCAATTATCTAGAGAAAATGTGGGAGCCTCGACGTCTCACAACCCTATGGGCCTCCACGGCCTGTTACAGGGATAGCTTTATTTTTTATTGGTTACATGGATTTAACCCCATTGGAGTAC